GCCGAGGTACATCACTTGTCCAATCTTGAATTGGCCGACGATGACGGCGTCGGTGGACACCGTATCCTTCATGAAGGCTCCGTCGCGGTGCCCTTACTCCTTCGAGTTGCTCCGAGTGAAAACTTGATCTCTGGGATCGGATGGTGGCGGCTATCAGTGGTCGTTCCCTTCTAGGAGGCACCATCTTGGAGTCCTTGTTCCGTCGTTTTTTGTCTCACCTCTTCTCAGAGGATTGGAGGTCTCCGTTGGCTCCAAGCGGATCATCCCCGCCATGTGTAGTGGCTTGGTAGTCATTGGGGTGGTGTGGCGGTGCTCGGCACCCTTGTATCTTGCCTTGGATGTGTGTCGTGTGTGGTGGTGGCGTGAGTTTGTATCATGATGCTTGTGGATCGATGCTTTATATATAAAGCGGGGCGAAAGCCTTTTTCGGTAAAAGGCGGTCTGTGCACTCCCCTGCGACATTGTAGGATGCCTAGCAGCACCTTGGATCATGGGATGGCACGGTTGGTGGTGGAGCAAGAGCTACGACATGATTTCCCTTTTGAACAGAAGTAAAAGGGTGAAGAAGGAGCAGAAAAGCTGCGACGTTTATGCAACGAAAAAAATTCAGCATCTTGCTCTCCCTCTCTCCCGTTCGGTTTTTTTTTTTTTGAGAAATCACCGGGGGGGAGAGGATCCCCACCTGTATATATTGCTCAAGTGGCCAAGACGGGCCTGGCAGTTAAAAGATTACAAGGACACGGCTAGCCGTGCGGCAAGGTAGCTAAGCCAGGACGTGGTAGCTACCTTATCAACTGGGTCCCGAAAGCGATGAGAGAATAGTTCTAAGCCTGTTACAATATTTCGAATGGTGATATCAGGAGTGTGATCCAGCGAGCGGAAGGCAGCAGCATTCCTAGAGTCCCAAATACTCCAAAGGGTGATGACCAGCCAAAGATCCTGGAATCTTGGCATGGGCGAGAGCCCTAGCTTGGCCCAGGTTCCTGCCGCGCGCGGGCAGGATATGAACAGGTGGGATGTGTCTTCAGAGGAGGCAGCACATCGTGGTCAGGCTGCTGAATCAGACATGTGCTTATGCGCTAGATTAGCCTTGGTGTTGAGCCGGCCACGAAACAACAGCCAGGCAAAGAGCTTGATTTTATGAGGAGCCCGAGACCTCCATATTAGGTCAGCGTGATCATCCTCCACTTCTTCATGCAACATGATCTTGTAGGCCGCCTTAGGCGAGAACTGCTGACCATGTAAGAGAAACCGCTCATCGGGGCCATCCGTCGGTTGGAAATCCTGCAACAGTAAACAGAGAGCGTCTAGCTCGCGCGAGGCGGCCGAGGTGAGCATGTTCGTTAGGTTTGCTTGTAGCCCATAACGCATGATGTGCACCACAGGGATGTACTCATTGGTGGAGTGGGAGTAGAGGCTCGGGAAGGTGGCAGCTATGGGGGTTTGGAGGAGCCAAGTATCAAGCCAGAAGAAGGTCTTCTGGCCATTATTTGTAAGTACAAATGTCATTTGTAGCAGTGGCTGTAGTTGTGTTTGGATGATTTTGGTGAGGAAGGAGGGGTTTGGGCAGGCTGCAATATGTGGCAGGCTACAGAGGTGTTGTTTATCTACCCAGGAGATCCATGGCAGAGGGTTAGAGGCATCATGGGTTAGGTATTTGTAGGCAAACTTCATAAGTAGACAATTATTCTGAGCCGCTAGATTCTTAATACCTAGACCACCAAAAAATTTCGGTTTACAAACATTTTCCCAAGCAATCAAACATTTTGATCCGGTGCACGTATCCTCGGCAGCCCAGAAGAAGGCCCGTCTAATCGCATCTAGAATTTTTAAGGTCTTCATTGGCAACTTGAAGACGGACAGGAAATATGTCGCAAGAGAATCCAGAACGGAGGAGATGAGTACTAGCCTCGCAGCGCGGTTGAGCAGCTTGGCACACCAGCCTGGGAGCAATGATCTGTAGGAAGTAACAAGTGGTTGGCAAGCGGATGGAGGGAGCTTGTAGGGGGGGAAAGGCAGCCCAAGATACGTTTGGGGGAAGCTGGAGATGGCGCAGCCAAAGACATGAGAGATCGCTAAGGCACACGGCGTGTCCACATGCAAGGGGACGAAGGTGGTTTTAGAGAAGTTGATGCACAGCCCCGTAGCAAGGCCAAAGTCATCTAAGATATGCTTAAGTTTGCGGGCAGCGATGATGGATGCATGGGCGATGATCAGCGTGTCATCAGCGTACTGAAGGATAGTGGGTGGCAAGTCTTCGTAGACAGGGTGGTGCAGATCATTGGTGTGGTCAGAGGCAGCCGACAGGATCAGTTGTTGCAAGATATCTGTAACAATGATGAATAGGTAAGGGGAAATGGGGTCGCCCTGACGGAGACCATTCCTGCATTGAATCCAGTTGCCAGGAACCCCGTTAGGAAGCACTGCAGTCCTGCCCGTGGAGAGCAGATCGTCAATCCAGGAACAGAAGCGCTCAGGGAAGCCACGGTGCCTAAGGATTTTCAGAAGTGAAGGCCAGGAAATAGACTCAAAGGCTTTCCTGAAGTCAAGCTTAAGAACCATGGTGGTTGCCTTGCGTTTGTGACAGCAGTTTAGAGAGTCGGCAGCGTAAATGAAGTTTTCGGCAATGCAACGTCCAGTGATGAAGCATGTTTGATCACCATGTACAAGTAGTGGAATGAGGGGTTTGAGTCGATTAGTAAGAAGTTTGGCCACTCCTTTAATTGGGCAATTTTGAAGTGAGATGGGCCGAAAAGCATTTGCAGTGTTGGCACCGTCCTTTTTTGGAAGGAGGATGATGAGGGCTCTGTTGAAGCGTTCAGTTTGCGCCGTGAGATTGTAAAATTCATGGAAAAACGGGATGATATCCTGTTTGATTGAGTTCCAGAAAGAGTGGTAAAAAGAGGGGCCAAACCCATCCGGGCCTGGGCTAGCGTTCGGATTCATATGGAGGAAGGCAAGTTTAATCTCGTCGGTAGTGAAGGGGGCGTCGAGGTGGCGTAGTTGGGGAACGGGGGCGGCGTAGAGGTCAGAAAGGTTAAAGTTCCAGTTGGTAGTAGCCGGGGTGCCTAATAGATTTTGGTAAAAAAAAAATGTTGCCTTTTGGTCATGAGAGGAGAATTCCTGGTCCAGTACACGAAGAGAGGGGATCTGTTTTTTTTTTGGAACCGTTGAGAGGCAGAGACATGGAAAAACCTGGTGTTCTAGTCACCCCAGATGGCACGCTTAATCTTAGCGCGTTACCTGATGGATATCATACGATCACGGATCACGCGGTGGAGGGCTCGTTTTACCACATGTCGAAGGGTTGATTCTGGGGCAGAGAGAGGGCGCGATTCTTCCTTGGAGTCCAAGAGCGTGAGGACGGTTTTGCATCGTTTTTCTCTGATCGGAGGGGATCTAATGGTTTTGGCCCATTGTTTTAGGCGGGAGCGGCAGGTTTGAATTGTGTGGGCCAGATAAGCAGACGGAGTTTGGGTTGTTGGGCTGGGGCGAGCAGAGGCCTAGGTAACAATGCGCCGGCAAGAAGGATGCAAGGCCCAGCAGCGTTCAAACCGAAAAAGGCGGGAACGCGGCAGTGAGGTGGAGATTGTGATAACCAAGGGCACATGATCCGAGGTTAGACGCGGCAAGGAGCTTAGAGAGGAGTTGGGAAAAAGGTTGTTCCAGGCAACGTTGAAGAAAGCACGATCGAGGCGTCCAAGGATCGGGCTAGATTGATTATTTGTCCACGTGAATTTGCGATCAAGAAGAGGGAGTTCTAGGAGCGCCAGTTCATCGATTCAGTGCATTGCATGTCACGCCAGGGTTCAGGGTGACACCTGATTCAGTGCATTGCATGTCATGCCAGGTGAAACCAGTGCCGTTGCAATTTGATCGACAAAAAATATAGACAAACAACCAGGTCACACTTTGGCGGTGTGCGTTGGAGATGTGCAACTGAATGCACAGACTAGACGCCCATGCGGGTTCGCTGTTGCCGAAAGCTGGAGCAAGACAGTGCCAGTGTGGATGCGTTTCCGAGAGTGCGCGCTAAAGATGCTACACCGCGACTAGTTAACTGTTTACTTGCCACCAGCCGATCCGTGATAAGAAGTCAACTCTTCCTCCTCCAGCAAGCGGCTCATGAGCCAAGAAAGCATGCATATGCTCGTGCACATGATGTTGCCTGCGGTAATGGAGACATGGCATGATGGCATTGGCAGCACTATGGTAGAGGGTAGGCGGCATCTTCTCCGTTGAGCTAGCGTTTCGCCGACACAACACATGGAAGAAGCCGCGGGGAGAGAGATTCTTGCTGTCTGCTCTGCTGGTCCTGCTCCAGCTCTGCAGTGGCATCTTCTTCTTCTTCCTCCTCCTCCTCTTCCTCGAAGGAGCAGAAAGAAAATTGGACGGTGCTAGATGCTGTCAGCGCGGCAGCACAGCGATGCTGCACTACACGCACGCGTTGGAGCCTCCAGGTGTGAGGTCAACTGCTCACCGGTCACAGCAGTGCACACACCCGTGCGATCAGTTTGCCGCCAATAATCCAGATTGAGATCTACGTACTTGTAAGCGCAGAAGGCAGGCGAAACATGCCAGCGACGCCGCACGAGGAGTGATGAGAAACCAGATAAACAGGTTCCGCGTTGGAGCCTCGAGAGGTGAAGTCAACTGCTCTTGGACTAGCAAAGGTACAGCTCACCGGCCTCATAATCCAGGCCCAAACGCCCGTGCAGATGAGTTTGCCCCCGATGATGGAGGCACGATTGAACCTCACTTGGAGAAATGCTACCTGCTGCAGATGGTCCGGGACAGAGAAGAAGCACAGCACTCCATCGTCGATGAGATTCTGCTTGTCCATAATGTCAGCGAAACCGTGGCATCTTCTTCTTTCGGTATATATATATATATATAGGGAAAAGACATAGCCAGATTTCAACACCATTGCGACACAACTTCTTTCTCTCCTCTTCCTCCATCCCTAAAGAAGAAAACGAACTTTAGCTTCCACTACAGCCATGCCATCCCACCTCAGATCTTCAAGTGTGCCTTCAAGCCCCTGCGCGGGCGAAACCAACGTTGAAGCACAACTTCAGAGCCTAAACACCGCCGTCTCCTCACCCTCTTCGACCATCGAGACAATGCTTGACGGGTTGAGGAGGCTCGGAGATATTTACGACTGCATCGACGAGCTCGCAAGCTTACCCAGGAGCCAAGCTCTCATCTGCAAGCCGCAGCATAGGATTGCTGTGGAGCAAGAGCTCGAGCGCTCCCTGGTGTTGCTCGACCTCTGCGACGCGGTGCAAGTGAGCTTCTCCGAGCTCAAGGCGAGCGTACAGGACATGCAGCTGATTATCAAGAGAGGAGATGATGCGGCTCTTCAGGCCAAGATCCAGTCTTGGTTCCGCCTGACCAAGAAAGCGCAAAAGCAGTTCAAGAAGACCAGCAGAAACTCTTCTCCGGCTGATGTCGAGAGCTGCAGAATGGTCTGTCTGTTGGCTAAAGCTAGGGACGTCGCTGTCACAACGATTGAATCCTCGGTGGAACTCCTGTCGAAGCAAATTGCAGCGCCGAATTCCAGCAAGTGGTCTCTTGTACCCAAGGCGTCCCAGAAGAGAAGTGTGACGTGCAAGGAGGAGCAATTGCAGGTGCTGGAGTTGGACATTGTTGATCTTGAGAGCGGAGTCAAGTCTTTGTTCAGGAGATTGATCCAGAGCAGAGTTTCTCTTCTGAATACTCTGAGCTTGTAGAGTTGATCGTATACTAACTCTGATCCCCTGTGATCGGTGTCCGCCTTTTGGAGGGCTTGCTGATCATCATCACAATTTTGTAATGTGTATACATGGGAGGAATTTGTACATAAACATACTCCATGGAGAAACAAAAACACGCCTTTTTGTCCATTTCCTCGTGTCGACAAGATTGTGTATTCATGGTTTGGTACAATGACCTAAGTTTGGGGCGGATCATTCGAACGATTCTTCTTTGAGAGAACCAATATGATTTACTTACAAGATGATTATCATTATTGTTTACTATAGACGTAATAGGATTGATTGGTCAAGCTGATCTTTCAAATGATTAACTTTGAGATGGCCATCTTATTCAGATGCCATTTCTCATGTCACCAGAAACAAGCAAAAGATCCTGAGTGTCGGGGTTATAAATATGGGGTAGGCCCAAGTATACGAATGGCCCTCCAGAAGGCTATAGCCCATCAAAGATACGGCCCAGAAGGATATGGGCCAGAGGACATCACCTTTGGCCCATAGGATTCGGAGCCCTAGATATCAAGGACCAAAAGGATGATTTGTAATCTAGCCAAGTCCCCATAGTTGGATTCTACACCCCCAGATGGACAAGACCCAGCAATCAGTCATGAAGATGATGGGAGCAGTCGGCTAGACCTACAGTCGGCAACTACCTAGGATACCCTATCAACCATGATGTCTTAATGATAGCAGTTACCCAACGATGGAATAATCTAGTTAAATACGGCAGTTACTAGCAGTAATAACCAGGAAATAATCGACTACACCTGAAGCGATGAATAGCATTAATACCAGCCCATTATGTACCCCCTCCTGGCACACTCTATATAAGCCGGGAGGGGAGTACCGGGCTGAGGGTTGAGCATTCACATCTTGCGCCTTACGCCAAGAGCTAAGAGCACCACAGAAGTAGGGTATTACCTCCACCGAAAGAGGGCCCGAACCTGTATAAGCCCTTGCGCATACACTCATCTACACCGCTCGACAGGTACAATTGCCTCTACATTCATAACCCCGTAGTACTGTCAGGATTATATCCACGACACTGAGCAACAGATCTTGCTATCATAGCCAAAACATGCCAGCTCAATGTCAAGAGGTTGAGTGTGTAAGCTGCATGAGTTGAGCATAAAAAATACCAACTGAATTAACAATTGTACAAAAACTAGATAACACCTTGTCACCAATAAGACTTGGCTACCAATCCACTATAATATTCTCTAAGCATGCAACTATGTAAAGATCCGCTGGTAGAGTGAACTAACCTGCTGGCTTTTGTAGGCAATTGTTGGAACATGAGAATTCATTGGGAGGATAATTAGTGCACTCGGAAAAATTGAGCTACGCATGCGTGATCAAATTTGTAGGTTGTTGCTTTCAGTACATGGAATTAGCAAACTCCATTAAAATAGTTTAGAGCATGCAACAGAACGAGCTGTCATGCTGATTCTTGCTGCCAAAATCGGAACATAGCATTGTGATTCAGTGGTAGAAAATCAGACAGCACATGGATCATCTCAAGATTGCAATAGATGTGAAATGCTTGTAAGCGCGGCAGGCAGGCGAAACATGCCAGCGATGCCGCACAAGAGGTGATCAGAAACCAGATAAATACACAGCATTGGAGCCTGGAGAGGTGAAGTCAACTGTTCTTCAACTACCAAAGGCACAGCTCACCAATGTGGACCAACACACCTGTGCATATGAGTTTGCCCCCAATAATCAAGAAGTTTGGTTGGGAGACATAGGAAAGCCAGCATCCTGTAATGGAGATGGGTGGTATTTGTCACGGCAGCATGACACAGCGTTATCATTGAGATTCTTGCTGTCTAGAGGGTCATGCCATGGCTTCTGCTTCTTTCTGTACATACTTGTATATATAGGGACAAGCCCATAGGCAGAACTCAACACCATCGTAGAGCAGCTTCTCTTATCTTCTATCTCCAGAGAGCAAACGAAAAGACTTCAGCTTCCAACACAATCATGGCACCCCACCTCAGGTCCACGAGTGTGCCTTCCAGCCCTCGCTCCGGCGAAACCGATGTCGACCAACAGCTGCATAGCCTAAACACAGCCACCGTCTCTCCCTTATCAACAATTGGGACAGTGTGTGTTGGGCTAAGGAGGCTTGGAGACATCTATGACTGCATCGATGAGCGCACATGCTTGCCTAGCAGCCAAATTCTCCTCTGCAAAACGCAGCAAAGGATTGCTGTGGAGCAAGAGCTCGAGCGCTCCCTTATCTTGCTTGACCTCTGCAATGTCGTGCAAGTCAGCTTTTCCGAGCTCAAGGCAAGCGTCCAAGACATGCAGTTGGTTATCAAGAGAGGAGATGATGCAGCTCTTCAGGTCAAGATCCAGTCTTGGTTTCACCAGATCAAGAAAGTGCAAAAAATGCTAAAGAAGAACAGCAAGAAGTCTTCTTCGGCTGATCTGGAGAGCTGCAGAGTGGTCAGGTTGTTGACTGAAGCTAGAGAAGCCGCTGTCACAATGATTGGATCCTCATTGGAACTCCTGTCGAAGCAAATTGCAACATCGAGTTCTAACAAGTGGGCCCTTGTATCAAAGGCATTCCAGAAGAAAAGAGTTACATGCGAGGAGGAGCAACTGCAGGTGCTTGAGTTGGACATCGTTGATCTTGAGAGTGGAGTTGAGACTTTGTTCAGGAGATTGATTCAGAGCAGAGTCTCTCTTCTAAATATTCTCAGTTTGTAGACTAGATGTACCAACTCTGATCCCCTGTGATTGGCGTCCGCCTTTTAGAGGATTTGCTGATCACTAGAACAATTTTGCAACATGTGTACATGAAACACACTGTACATAAATATACTCAATTGAGGAACAGACACGGTTATTTATCAAATTCATATTTTATATTACAATTGCTTAAGTTTTGGATGGTTCACTCAAAAGATTCTTTCCTGGGAAGAAAAGACCAAGTTACTTAGAATATGCTTGTCATTATTGACTATTATGGTCTATAGAAGTGTTTTTCAGAATACAATTCAAGTGCAACTTAGTTGTTTGGTTTTCAAATAGTCATGTTGCATGTTTAAGAATGTTGTTGATACACTGATACACTCCTTGTGCGGTGGTTCTAAACCTATATAAAAATATGCCAGCTCCAGGACACAAAGTATAAACTTGTACTGCCTCTGTAAACTAATATAAGATCGTTTAGATCACTAAACTAGTGATCTAAATGATCTTATATTAGTTTACAGAGGGAGTAATTAGCACACAGCTGGTTCTAACAGAAACATTATCTGTGTCAGTAATTACCAGGCTACACCACATGTATCACAAAGGAAAATGTCCAATTTAAAGCCCCAGAGCCAATAAGTTACACTTTCAACTGGAGTCTCGCTGCAATAATTGGAATATAACAAGTGAGGTATTTGATTCTTTCTGCAACAACTGGAACATGAATAAGTGAGGAACACACTTGAGGCTCCTAAATGCAGAAAAAATAGTGTCCGCCTCTGATACCTTCTTTCAATATCTTTCTGGGTCTGTTGTGACACATATCTGGGACAGAGACTTGACACAAACTCTACGAGATCAAACAGCAAGATTGGTGTTTACCATTCGAAACTTGCTTCCTGTTCATAGACATGCCTTCTCCAAAGGACCGACATGATCAAACATGTTTCTTTCATTCTCATGTAGTTGTTTCTGGTTATTTGTCACCGAACAGATTACAAACATATTTACATTCCAATATATTCTGAACTACTGTTTTTTATTAGTTAACAGTCATGATATAACTCATAGTTTGAGAACAATACGAGTTCACTATGAATTCAGGACTTTTAGACTGCTTTGCACAATTTTTAGATCGACCAAAGTGTCGGGATTCTATACACATCGCTCTAACAAGATTGTGCCTTCTCATACACAACAAAATGAAAAATATACAAGAAAAATTGTAGTCACTCATCTGTGTCTTGGCGCACATATTTGCATCAGAAATATGTCATAGTTTTGTTGAAATCCCTCTTTTTAAAAGTATATGTCACTTTGCTTGGACTGTGCCTTGAGACCCTTCAATTTCTTTAATATGTTGGAGAAATAATCTTGTAAATACTTCTCTAAGGTGAGGATATCCTTTGCCTCCACCCCAAGAAGCTGGTATGTCTCATTCATTGGAGCTGAGAAAACGGTGTCGCTGGAGAGCACCTGGATTATAAAAATGTAAATTTATTGTTAGCCTTCACAGGCTTTGATATATATCTACATCTATATCTATATCTATACCACTATATAGTGTACGAATAACTTTGAATATTGGCTGTTGGATGAAGCCAATCCAGCGGTAGAGAGTTGGCAAATCCGAGCATTGTTGGCCATTGGATATCCTCTTCACTACACTATATTCTGACACGGGTACTATCTAGATGATTCCATGGCTAAGGTTAAGCACAATGCACTATATACACAAAACTAAAATCACAGACGTCTCTCTTTTGTTCTAGAATCTTCCCGACTTTCTGCTGACTCTTTTCTTCAAGATGAATTGTCATTCCTTTTCCCAAAGCACATGCATTTAACATTTATTTAAGATTCTTCCATATTTTAGTTGTCTCAAGTTTTTTTTTTTGGCTCTAAAAGAATTACCATTCATTTTTACTTTACTTTATCTTTTCTTCAAGACTCTCATAGTACTTTCATAAATTAAATTTTGAGTGGGATGGACTACAAGAACTAAATCTACATCTTATACTTGATGCATGCGTGACTAAATTTACATGTTTACCTGTTATAATGTGATATGTCAATATTTGATCGTACTTTGGTTATCTATAAGCCCCGACGTGCAATACACGTGTACCTTACTAGTATATTACCGTTACTGAATTACATGTGCAGTGCACAAAAAGGCCTAGACAAACCTCTGAAAATGCCAGCCTATCAGCCACATCGTTTGTCCACTGGAAGAACCGTGTTAATTGACGAGTAAATCTCAAGACTGCAACAGGGACAGTAGTTACATTGGCATCTTGCCCAGCCAGTCTCTCACATAATGTAATAACCTGGAGAAGGCAAAATAAATAGAATTAAAATAATAATGTACCAAATCCCATAAGCCATCATTTGGTACATTCTCAAAAGCAAAACAAAATGCATGAATTACTAGATTTGTACATTCCCTATGAAATAGTGTGTTATACTAACTACTCCCTCCGTCGCAGAAATGGATATAAATGGATGCATCTAAAACTAAAATACGTCTAGATACATCCATTCCCCCGACAAGTATTTCTGGACGGAGGGAGTACTTATTAGTGACAAGTCATAAATAAATTTGGTTCAGCAGACCCTACTGAACATTATATATACTTCATTCACTATGACTGGCCACAGTGGGAGTAACTTCAAGAGTAACATCAGGTCCAACTCAGCAAATTTGCCTATGTGACAATGAGTTAATGAGAGAGATAAATTGAGTAACTTAGCTAGTTATCGTAACATCACATATCCCAAGACAATATGAGTCTATAACCTAATAATGAAGCTTTGCATGACACTACACATATGTTCCTACCCACTATGAAGGTAGTAACATAGCCTAGGGTAGCGTGTATGTTACTAGTGTAAGTTACTCTCCACTATGTCTAGTCTAAAAAAGCAACAGAGTTAATTACCTCCTGAGTTGTCCAAGCACGTGGTCCAGCAAATGTTAGGAGTTTTTTGCTGGCCTTCTCGTTGCGCAAAGCAACAAATGTCAGGCGAGCGACGTCCTATAGTTGCACAGAGAAGGAGTGTCAACAGTAAGCTACTTTGGAGAGAGACTGGTACATAGATATACACAGTTTCATCTTCCAATGGAAAGGGAGAAAAGATAACCTGGGTATCCATGTATGCAATCCGAGTCGGAGCATCAGTTCCCCAAACTGACTTCTCTTCTAGTATAGGCACCGCATATTGCCCAATTAGGCCCTGAAACCAAAAAATAGATGGAAATTCATTTCTAGAAACAACCAGAAAACATGACTATGAGAAGATGTATGACATGAGCTTTCAACTATATGTCAGATCAGTGCTTTAACTTTTACTACTTGTTTATGTCTATCATGGATTATGAACAACGCACAGGTGGTTTAGCAAGGAACTGCTTTAGCGCCTTTTGCAATCTAACATCAGCATGAGTAGGAAAAGGAATTTCCTGGACGAAACAGAATCCCAGGAAAAGGATCGCATCTACCTGCATGAAACCGCACAATCTGATGATGGTGTAATCCAGACCTGTGTCCTGAATAAACCTCTCTGTACAATACTTGATCTCCATCAAAGGGACCTCAGGATGCTTGTCGCAGTTGTGAATGGAGTAGAAGACATACTTCTGAATCCCCATGGCCTTAGCACACTGGATTAGAGCAACCTTTCCTTCCCAGTCTACCTAAATGGAACAACCATCAGCGTCCGAAACGCGGAACTCGTTTAATGACTCAAAGAAACAGAAGACACGATACAATTCTCCACTGTATTTTGAGAGATTACATGCTGATGGCATTTACCGTTCGAATGGGCTCTTCCGGCCGCCCCGTGGCGCAGTCAATGACCGTATGAACGCCAACAAGCGTAGCGGGTATCGTCTCTGGCTTGCTGAGGTCGGCCTAATTGAATCAGTCACACACACAGACCATCATGAGACAGAGTCCGCAATTACCTAGAGCAGGAAGAAGTGAAGAGTAAGGTCGGTTGCGCAGTGCAAACCTACATTGACCACGGTGGCGCCCCAGTCCCGGAGGAAGTCGGCGGGCGCCGGGCGGGGCCTGACGAGGCACCTGACGTCGTAGCCCTCGTCCAGTGCCCTCCTGACCACCTGCCGTCCCAGGGTCCCCGTGGCGCCGACCACCAGCACGCTCGTCGGCCTGACGGGCGTCCCCTGCCCAATGCTGATGGGGGCCGCCGCCTGCGCGTTGCAGGTCACGACCAGCCTGCAGCGGGGCCCACTCGAGGAGACGGCACGGGCTGGGTGCGGTCGCGGTCGCGCGCGGGAGGTTGTGCAGGAGAGGGCGGCCCGGCGGCCCGGGGAGGTGACCCGCGAGGGCAGCGCGGCGGCGAGGCTGGTCGACGTCGCCATTTTGCGCGCGTAGGTTTTGGCGTGGCGTGGCGGAGGTGCCCGTGGTTCTGGGTTTGGGCTGGGAAGGGAATGGAGGAGTGGCGGAGAGAGGATGCGGACCAGCCGATGCCCGTCGCGCCACGTCGTCTCGGCCATCCCGTCATCCGTTTCTGCCCCGTCACCTTCCGCTTCTTACCCGCCACTTGTTGCCCAAATTTCGGAAAGAGAATAAATCTCATTTCATGGCACACGCTAAGAGCACCTGCAACCGCTATGGGCAAATCCGGTCCCCCGAACGCCTCTAGGAACGCCGCACCATGTTTGCGTCGGACGACGCCCACCGTGCGTACATGGCCTCAGCGCGTCAACTGGGAAATTGCGCGTGTGTCACCGTGTTCAAACGGACTACAGCACCTCCGATGAGGCAGTGACGGCTGCCCTAGCGCCGGATCCATGCGCCATTTCGGTGGACGCAATGGATTCCCGACGGAAGGAATCCGAGCGCTGTCATGCACGAGCCTCCTCCGGGAGCAGTGGAGCGCAAGCTGGACGGCCATCTCCTCTTCGGGGTCGTGTGGGATGAGCTCGGGGTTGAGGGATCTGGAGGTGAAGAACTCAGATCCACTGCCAGCCACGTCGAAGACGGTCA